GGGGGGTGGCTCAATCCAAAGGGGGAAATTCCGGACGTTCCTTGCGGCATCCTGAATTTTACCAATATTCCAGCATTATTACATTACGGGCGTGTATCGGACCTATACCTACTCGAGTACGGTAAGGTAAGGTATATCGGACAAACCGGGTATATGTATACAAGTACCACAGACTACCACCACCCACCGTAAAAACCACTACGGTAAACAATAACTGCCAGTATACTTGCATACGAGCACGATACGATATACCGTGCAACACCGGACATAATTACCAGGCAAACAAAAAAAAAAAAAAGTACGAAGAATGTACCATCTATCAATCATACACCGTGGTACCCACACGCAGAGCCGGTACCAGCGACTGGACTGTACATACTACATAATATACACAATGAATACGAGCAGAGGTAAGAGAACCCATAGAAGGCAAGAGGTACAGTAATGTACTGTACGGTACCGTATCCGGAAGCAGGGATTTCGCAATATACAAGTATATATATACATATATAGTAGAAAAATCAGTTCGTACAATATCTGAAAAAACCGTAATACCGGTACATACCGGTACTGTAGATTCATGATCCCCCCCCCCTATTGTTGGTTCTTTTTCTTTCTTCTTTCGGATAACCGGTACCGTACTGTGCTTCTTGATCTAAATTAAGTATTCATGCCATCGTACTGCGCTGCGCTGCACGAGTACGGTACCGGTAGGCTATGATACCGTGTCCAAATATTCGAACCGCCAAGCCATGCAGAGGCAGCGGAACGATAGAGAGTCCTTTCCGTGCATCTCACCTCCTCACGCCTGGAGGGGGGGGGGGGGGGGGGGGGGTGGATGAACTATGGTATCATACACCCTTCCCTGCGAGTTACGAGCTCTGATATTGGGATAGAGTAAATAAATTAGAGGATATTCAGCAATATGGGTGACAATACGATAGATGTTGTAGATACGGACAGTGGCATACAACTCAAGCGGGCATAGCTAGGCTGTGCAGTAGCAGTAGGTGGGGGGGGGGGGGTGGAGTGATATTGTACAATCCAATTAGTAAAATGAGAGGTAAAAGTGCTTGGGGGTGGCTCAGAATCAGTGAGCCATCTCTGTCGATCCTGTGCAAATTTAAATGGAGAAAAGAGCCAGGGTGCTGGGAGGGAGGGATTGGAGGAGGAACGAGTATGATACCTAATATGAAATTCAAAAAAAATTGCGGCTTGTATGGTGCGCTCCCTCCTACTCCACAGCCGCACCCCTTCAGGCGCACTACATATTCCGTTTTGTACCGACACCCCCGAGGACTGCTGTAATTCTATTATTGTATGCTACTGCTCCGAATGCCATAGTCTATGATACCATCATCAAATTGGGAACCGAAATGATAGATTTACATGTTCGGGAAGGAGGGAGTATCGTATGTAACCACCTTAGAGGTAAAAGGAGAAAGGGTGAAGAAGAAAGAAAAGGGGGGAAATAGTTTCCACGCAGGAAAAGCTAAAGCAAATATGATACAATACCGCACACAGAAAAGTGCGGCAAACCCTCCTTCAATGCTTTTTATATTCCCACAGCTTCTTTAACCTCCGCCAACGTCTCCTCGGCACTCTCCCGAGCTTTCCGCCCCCCTTCACTCGCTACAAAGCGTAGAACTTCTCTATTACTCTCCGCGATGATCTTCTCGTACTCGTCCCGGATGGGTTCCAAGTGCTCACTGATAGTGTCTGCCACAAGATCTTTGAACGCCTTGAGACTCAAATCCGAGACGTCCCTGGCGACGTTGTCAAAGTCCTGTTGACGCCGGATGTGGGCAAGTATCTCAATGAGATTTGAAACGCCTGGTCGCTTCTGCACGTCGTAGGTCGGAGGGCCGGTGACGCTATCTGTTACAGCCCTTCTGAGCTTGTCGTGAATTTCTCTTGGTGAGTCTGTCAGGAGGATGCAGGAGGCAGGGTCGGCAGCTGATTTGGACATCTTTTGAGTGGGGTCTTTGAGTGACATGATGCGCTTTGCCGGTGCTAAAGTGATTGATTAGATAGTTCCGGGAGAGAGATACAAATGCACTTGCGTAGGCTGAGGGAGTGGTACAGAGAAGGGTGATGGGTAATTTCAAGATATCCTTCCCGAAGGCTTTATTGAAACTTGATGCGACCTCTCGCGTGAGCTCCAGATGCTGGGCTTGGTCTTCACCAACCGGGACATGTGTAGCTCTATTACCCCCATTAGCCACAATCTCTCGTAATCCCCCGGTCAAAATCAAAGGCGCGCAAACTTGTGTATCAGAATGTCTGCCGCCTGTAGAACAGGATACGAGAACAGTCCCAATTTCAAGCCGGCCGTGGCAGGCCTCTCCCCGAGGGCATCCTGGTCTGAAGAGACCCCAAGCTTACTCTACTCCCCCCAACAGCAAGTCTTAGAGAAACCATCATCCAGGAGGGTGAGGAGAGGTAATGTCAGAGAAACTTACGCACCTTCCACTGCGTCATACGATTCAACCTCCCCATCGGCGCAAAACAGCTCAGAATCCACATCAACTCCGAGTGTGCCGGCACACGACTCTGCTCGAAAATTGTGCACCTCCTAGGGTCTAATCCGATAGCCAAAAGCGTAGCAAGCAGCTCCATCTTGCGCTTCCGCAACTGCTCTACCTCCTGCGGCTGCGTTATGGCGTGCAGGTCCACGATGCAGAAGGTGAGCCTGGCAGACTTGGGCGAGTTGTCTTGGATCCCGACCCATTGGCGGAGGGCGCCCAGATAGTTCCCCAAGTGCGGGACCCCGGTCGGTTGGATGCCGGAAAAGACACTGACGCCTGAAGGGGAGGTTCGGCGGGCTTGCGGCTGGCCTCCTCGGCCGATGGAATCGAGGAGCCTTGCGGTACGCTTCATAGCGGGGTCGTGTACAGGTGGTACCTTTTTTGCTCAATAAGGGGTTGGAGGGGCTCTCTCCGACGCGAGTTGGTGGGGTGGAGAAAAAAAAAAGTTCCGTGCCATTGAGTGCGGCTCAACGGTTGTCAAGCACACCACCCTTCTGTGGTAGTTTTGCTCAAGTGTGATAATGTTATTATGTTAGGTTGTTTGTCCTCCTCATTTATTTTTCTGTTTGGATGGCAACTCGATATGGAGCACCATGCTGTACTGTACGAGTGGCACTGCTTCAAAGTGCTCTTAATCTACCGGTAGATGAATCGCAGCGATGCCTGCCGCATAATAAAAGTGCAAGTGTCCTATAATACTCCAAATCTTTCAAAGCCCATGCAGCTATTCCAATTTAGCATTTTCCAGGAGCACCCGTATCCTGACCAATCGAGTTCGGACACCAGGACCTCCAGACGAAACCTCCATCTCCAACTATAACAACTCGCCCAGCCCAATCACCCTCCAACCAGTCCAACCAACCAAACAAACCCCCGGCCCGTAAACCCCAGGCTCCGTATGGCGGGCACGTGGTTTCGGATATCTCGTGTTGAGCTCATACAAAGTCATGTGTCTCGCGTATGGACAGATCATTCCCAGAGGAGCACATCAAATGGAGTGCCAATCTTCCAATAATTCCATAGAGAACTGCGGTTCCCATATGCGAGTAATATATAACCAAATGAATGGGAACCACTCGCTCCGTAAGGTGGAGCCAACTCTCCAAACCGCACAATCTCTACCACAAGTATAATACTAGTCCGTCAAAAAGAAACAGCTGCTGCAACACAAGTAATGGGCACCGGTACTAATTGCCAGCTGATAGTAACCCAGCAGCAGTACGACAAACGCAACAGGTTAGCGCCTATCATCTCACTTCACTACACTTCACCTCATCCCTCAACCCTCACTCCTCATACCGCTGTATTGTGGTAGGATTGAGGAGGGGAGGATCAAAGGAGAACGGTATCTAAATATCCATTCTCTATCCCTACTCAATTTTCTTTCCAAACAAGTACTTCCAACAAATACAGTAGGCTGTATACAATAAAAATCACAATTCCACCCAACAAATCAAACCGGGGGATATTGAAAAATAAAACGAGGGGGTGACATAAACCTATGGTGAATCCTGGTATATGAAAAGTTTTGTATGAAGTACGTTCATTGCCCTGATCGCGTCGATTTCTCTAATCACGCAGGAGATATTTATCTCGCTCGCGCCTATGGCAGTTGTGTCGTCGTTAGCCATGCCAATCGCGAGCGGTGTGAAGAATGGAAAAGAAGAGTGGGGAGGTTGCCTTGTGAAATCATTTCGATATTGATGTTCGATTCTGCGAGAGCCGTGAACATACGACTCGCTATGCCGATCATCTGTTTCATTTGCTTTCCCACAACGGAAAGAATAGTCAAGTCGCGAATAACATCAACGGTGCCATACTTCCTCAATTCCTCGATTGCGTCTTTGAGGTCCGGCTCCCTAACTTCGGAGTGCAGGGCCATAGACACGTGCACCTCAGAAGTGGAGATCAAGTCCACCGTGAGGCGCCATTGATCCAGCACCGAGAAGATGTTTGCAAGAAAGCCATGTGATAGGGATTTCCTGTTGGAGTGAATGTTCAAAACCACAATGCTATTTTTTGTGGTCACAGCCGTAGGGCGCTTCGACCGCTCTCGTAAAAGTGGATCATGAGACTTGAGCCGTATGTGACGAGGTGGGTAAGTGGGTGTCTCTTCTCCCTTCCGAGGGATTGAGTCCGGAAAGATCACGGTTCCCTCACCGGTGGGATTTTCCACGTTCTTGATGCGGATATGGATACGGGCCTTAATCGCCTGCTCCATGGTGAACGGGTGGATAACCTTTGAGCATGCGTTAGCAGGGAAACCAATATGATAGAGTTAAATTCGGGGGAAAAAATGGCCCAAGATAATAATGTTAATGCCACTAATAATAGCTAAAACGTACCTCGGAGCCATAGTAGGTCAACTCCGCAGCTTCCTCTGGAGTGATTATGGGTATCAAACGCGCGGTGGGAACTTTTCTGGGGTCCGCAGTAAAAATTCCATCCACCTCCTTCCAAACCTGAAGCTCATCCGCATCCAGGCCAACTGCCAGCAGCGCGGCACAAAGATCCGTGTATCCTCTCCCGATAGACGACAGTATACTCCCGGGAACCGTCCCAAAATAGCCTGGCCAGAAGTAAATGTAAGGATTAGCACTCGGCTCGCTAGGCCTGAGAAGCCCCACGTTCCCTGACCTGCCCGTCCGGCTCCGCTTTGCTCGACCAAGTTGCAATGACATAAGCACCCTACAGGCATCATTCAATCACTCACCAGTAACGACAGGTATCCTCCCCTCACAGCCCTGTATCCTCTCCCCCAATTGCTTTGCAAGGTAGTCGTAGAATTCCTGATCCAGCCCATGCTTGGCAGAGCAGGACCCATGAATGATATTTTCGAGATTGACATATTCCGCATCAACGCCCTAAGCGGCCGACCGCCCCCACAAGCGGGCAAAGTGGTTAGTGAAAGCGGGACAAGCAAGCCCCGCCCATCTGGAAAAAAAAGGGAAAAGGAGATCAAGCGAAACTCACCCTATCCCTAAGCATTGCGGTCATGAGCAAGCAGCTAAGCTTTTCCCCGGCACCAACAATGATATCCTTCGTCTTGGGACTAATCTCATCGATGATCTAAAAATACACATCAGCTGCCTCCGGAACCCTCTACTTGCCATCTCGCGGGAGCCTTAGCCCCACTCGTATCAGTAGAGACAGACCTGCGCAGCGCCCAGGAAGCTCGCCAGCCTCCCACATTCTGCTTCAACTTCACTCTCTAACGTGGCGATGATTTCCTCCGACCGGATCTCCTGCTTTGCAGCGCGAATGTGGTCCTCCCGGATGTCACTCACAATATCGATATACAGCTTCGAATGCGGTTTCAGGGCTTCTTCCGCCGCTCGAAGCAACCTGGTAACAGGTCAGGAAGAAATCAATCGAGCCCTTCGCTTCATTGCTTCACTCCACAGGGTGGAATAGCTAAGAGTCAACCTACCGGTTTGTAGTCCCTTCGGCTTTAGTATCCGTGCTTCGGGCGGAACATACTATTGCGACTTTATTCGTATGAATATTTATCCTACCATAGGATCTTATGATCAGCTGGGTCAATTCCTCGCTTCTCAGCGTTGAGAAGAATCATTGTCTTCCCTTCTCGTTTGTCCGTTCGGTTGGAGCCATTCAACGGTGATTGATGTACAGTACCTGACAATCTGCTCCGCAATCTGGGCTGCAAATTTCCCAACACTCGTCCCACCGAATTTTTGAATTATCCATCCACCCTTCGCCTCGTTGCTCAAAAACCGGACCGGTTCCCCCATTGTCTTGGCTCTCCTTGTTTGACTCTGATTCTCAAAGCTAATTGGAAGCGTGATTGACCTCTCGACAGCTCCTGCTCAAGGTGGGAGGGGGGGTTGTTCCTCTCGTTTGCGTTAAAAAACCTGTCTCAGGAAGAAGCTGTATTTGTGGGGCACAACGTGGGGAAAAGAAAATAAATAAATAGGAGGGGCAGAACCCGTGATGGGTTTTCTCTATCAGATTCTGAAAAGTCGAGGAGTCGATAATGGTTTCGAAAATGACTCAGCAGAGTGAAACTAAAATAGCACCACCCTCCCACCGTCACGATTCTCACTCGCTCAATCACTATTTTTGGACAGCCCCCTAGCACCCACAGCACCGTAAGAACTCCTGATATCCACTATCTTCGCCAGCCCTGGAAATCTCCGGATCCCAATGCACAACTACGTAAAGCTATGATAGAAGTATGCATTTATACCGATCCTGACGAAAATCCCATTCATTTCCACATAAGTTACCGGTAGAACTGATACAACAACAAACCCTCCCCCCCCCCCCCGATTCCGTGTACTCGAGTATCACGAATCCCGGATCTGGGCAAACCGTAGACACGGTAACCAAGTTCAATCCATATATCTCGCCTTTCCCTCCCCGTCCCACCCCAAGATCATGTACCATTCCGCTCCGAACCGAACACAAGACCAGCACCGTGGGCGTTGGCAGATAGGATATCTGGATGCTGTGCAGATAAACCCAAGCCCCGCCACAATCGGTCGAAGATCTTAAAATCAAAACATCTATGCTAGCCGAAATTCTGGAGGAGATCGAGTTCCCCCTTCACAGGGTTGGTTTGTGGGTTTGAGTGCGGGGACACAGGATTCATGCGAGGCCCCATCATTGGATCATGTCAAGTGGTACGAGTGCATGAATTAATGGTTGCGCTCCCTCCCTCGCTTGTCCACCCAACAAGAAAAAAGGAGAGAAGGGGGAAATCGGGCCTCGTCTCCCGCTGCTTTTCTTCGCCAGCTGGGCCCGTAAACCTCCTACCGGTACAGCATGTACCGTACCCTTCTCTCTGATTTCCCATGCAATAATGTACCGGTATATATCTCTGCTTTTGCTTTTTGCAGCCTCCGTTCACGGTATTAGATCTACTACCTCTTACCTTTCTCGGAGGCGAGGCGGGAAAGCCAGGCGATGTCGCTGAGACGATGTCGCTGAGATTTCGATCCTGTATCTGGTAGGTTTGAGGAAAAGGTTGGAACTATTATACAGGATACGTAAACTTGCGCCCGGTGTGCGATGTGGTCCTTGCTATCCCGTGTGAAGCACGTACCGAGTATGATATGTACTCGAGTACTCGAGTACAAGTACGAGTAGCTTCAGGACTTTTTTACCGCCTCCACCAAGACCAACCGTGGGCAAGGTTTCGGTTCTCTTTTCTTTTTCTCTTTCTTTTTTTCCCTTTCCTGCCACTTTCATCGCGGGATTCGGCAGTCTGCTTTCTGTATCCGCTCCTTGCTCATCACAAAATGCGATCGTTGTACTTTTTTATTTTATTTTTCCCCTCCGTCTCGCTTGGCCACGCGATAGTCGGCCAGAATTCGAATCGAAAACAGGCACTAGGATGCCGACTTTGATTTCGAAAATCCTCCAACCAACCGTGATAAGCGATTCCGTTTTATCCCTTTTCTCTTTAATACGTCAAGGCAGCTGAGACATTGGTGCTGTCGTGTTATGATAGAGCTGAAGGAAACAATCTCAGTCCAAACAATAAATCGTGTGGCAATTCAGGGACGGCACTGCACCCGTACTAGTACAGTAAAAGGGTTAAAGATGTGTTTGCCAGCGGACCAGTTCGTCGATGGGGAGGCGGGGGAAAATGGCCTTAACTCGGCAGGCCCCTCCCGCCGGAGTTCCCACCAAACATGGCTCAATGTCCATTACCGGTACCGCAATCACCCCACACCCAGCACCAGGCCGGTAGGCCAGCGGAAAATTAGCCCCGAAATTCCTCTCCAACAGAGTCAAGCAAGCAAATGGAAAAGTTGAATGCGGTACCCCACCGACACTACTAAAAGCCAACTAACTGCTCGCCAATCTATCTGCCCCCCTCCCCCCCCTTTGTTCCCGAGAATCCGGAAATCAAAAAAGTAACATAAGGTTATATAATACGAATACACGGCAATCAACCTATGGAACCGGGGAACGTACTTGTATATACCCTAGCCACCCTCGTTTGGTTTTATTGTGAATTATTACCATTCTTTTTCTTTTTCCTGTTTTCCCGGTGCACGAGCACTCGTGCACCCGGGAACGCTCCCGTCAAGCGAGCCTGCAAGCTGGTTTGGATCCCAACTCGGTAGCCTGGTTTATTCGTTCAGGTATCGTAAAATTGTAACGATGTGATCTCCCGTCCATACGCTGACCATTGCAATCTGTGGTCGCCGACGTGGGCAAAGGCACGCGCTCCTCAATCGAACGCTCCGCTGCCCCTATCAGGAGAAAGGGAGAGATAGAAGCAGAAGGGAAAAAGAAAAGAAAACAGAAAAGAGGGTGGATAGACGATATCCGACCCCCCACCAACCTGCTGCTCTCCTCCTGCTCCTGCTCCTCCTCTCAAGTACCGGTACTGTATTCAATTCAACGGGCTTGGAAGTGGGGCTATACTTTCCGGTCGGTGGCAGACACCACGTTTTCTCTAGCGAAATGACAAGTTTTAGCAACCAGTTGATTCAGAAGGGTGAGAGGATGTTGGCCAATATAAATATCGAATCTGGCCCGACGGAGTGGTTACGCTGCGACTCGGAGCCCACCAATGAGAGGGCCAGAAAGGGAGCTCTCAAAACAGGCCGACTTTCATGGGTGCGTCAGGATGGCTACGCACACGGTATCGTACATGATGGCAATGATATCAGCGCTCGGTAAGTTGGGAGGAGGAGGGTAGAGGTGAGGTGGGCCCGCCGAGTTTGAGGTTGTTGGTCTCGATGAGCATGAGCAGATTGGAATGGAAATTACCGGCTTTCGTCCTTGAAGTCCTGTACCGTACTACACGATAAGGAGGGCTGCTTGGTGAAGGCCCTCAGTGCCGACTGACTGACCGCATCGTATGCATCCACCATTCACGCTTACCATGGCTTGCGAAGATGGCGAACGAAAGGCTACATACATGCGGTAAACGCCTCCCCTGTCTAACTGTACGATGCCGGTAGACTTGTTGTGTCTGCACACTTACGGTATCGAAGTTCGTAAGGGGTTGCTTTTTTTTTTTCTTTCCCTTCTTTCCTTTTTTTCATATAGCCCTTACCATGCTTTTGTTGCTTCTCTCTCTCTCTCCAGATTTCTCATGTGAAGCGAGAGCGAGAGAAGCGGAGAGGTAGACTAGGGAGTTCGTCGACGTGTGCTGAAGAGCACGTTTTTTCTGCGCAGTGCGCAGAAAAGTAAATTTCGGCTGGGCCGGCTTGGCCATCCAATCATTTTTTATTTTTACTTTTAGGCCTAGCCTTGGTTGCCTGGCTGCCGCCCACTACTTGTACTCGCACTGTCCGCGTCCCTTCCCCCCCCACCCCTCATTCACAATCACACCCCATCCCCTTCTCCCTTCCCCCCTCCGCCGCCGTGAGCAGCCATCACTACCGCAACCGGAGGAAAGATTAGGGAAGGGAAGGGGCAGGGCAACAATGCCAGTATCCTCATCGTTTTCCCGAACTGGCCACCGCAACATGATTGAGTATTCTCTAGACTGAAGGCTCCCCCAGGGCCTAGCCTACTCGAGTACCATAAGTTTCATGGGCACGTTTGAGCCACGAGAGAAGAGAGTTGCTAGCCCTAGCATGCTCCCGCAGGTCCCGCTACTTTAGAGAGGGGAGGGGAAAAAAAGAGCCCAACCGCATCCTATCATGCCGAGACTGACCTAACCTGTTGAATCCGACCTTACCCACACAAGCACCTAAGTTACTTCCTCTCTCTCCCCTTCTCCCTCTCCCCACGTAAAAAATAAAATAGAATACCACCCACAGTAAGAAGTACCGGTAGCCTTCTCGCTCTAGGATAGCAATACCTGTGTCCTATCGGCAAGGCTTACCGTACTATTGAGCATAGCGCTTCCATGAACGAAGCGGAAACCCAAGCCTCAGAAGCCTCAGAGAGAAAGAAAAGCATTTCCGGCTTATTGTCCGCTCGGTGTTGCTTTTCTGTAAAGGTACCTGTACCGGTGCAGGTACGGGTTCTCTTGGTCTAAACCCGTTTGCGCTGGCCCTTGGACCTTTTAGGCATTAACCGGAGAGGAGGCTTACTGTACCTTTGACCCTCTCCAAAACCGGCCTGGAGTCGGTTTTTAACCTAGTCCAGATCCTCATATTATTATGCCGCCGTCCTATTTCGCGCCTCTTTTCTTTTTCCTCCTCTTCCATCGGACTTGTCCACGAGTATCCGAGTAAACCTTGGCTACTCTCTGTCTTGGCTCTGCCATCAATAGTAACTGAGACAAGTACTCGAGCACTATACGAAGTTACACCTGGATATGATATATACGTGTAGATATCGTGAGAGGCCCCTATCGTGACGTCGTCGTGAATGGTGAGCTCACAATGCTTACTTCACCGGTCGCCTAGACCCTATCAGGTACAGTCAGCACCCTACTTGTACTAGTACCGTACAGGGCACTGAGGAGGTAGGGTACTGGATAGGGTGCTTTCACCTTCGATTAAGGGAAAATGGGGGAATGAAAGAAGAAAAAGAGGGGGGGAAGGGAAAGGGAAATAAAAAGTGGATGGGTTGTGCTTACCTTTAGAGAAGCTGGCTGTGGCTTTTTTTCTCACTCATACAAGTGGACGGGGAGGAAACTGGGGATACAAGTACGGTACGGTAGTGAAGAGGAAGGGTTCAAGGTTTGCCTCACGGTGGTACATCGCACGTGTTGCTTCCCCCCATCCATTTTGCTTCTTCCGCTCTTTCTTTCCCTTTCCTTTCGTAAGCTACCGCATTTTTTCCATACCTTCCCTTTTTCGCTCCCAGGAACGACATCCCTGGAAGGTTCTTATTTTTTTTCTTTTCTTATTTTCCTCGTTCTGCTCATCTGTGCCTGAATGCGAATGAAGGGAAGGGAAGGGAAAGGAAGGGAAAGGACCCTTAGAGGCGGAGGGGGGGGGGGGCGATTATGATAAAGGGTAACGTGAGGTAGGGGCGGGCTTGCTCGGGGAAGGAGTTCGATGAGGGATCGGATTAGGTCGCCATGCGGATGTGAGGTTGATCCTTAGTGATGAGCATGAAGAATCGAGGAAGGAGTAAAAAGCGGGCTCCGCATAGACTGCTTGCACGGTACCGTGCCGTACATCCTTATCGCTGCAATGATAATTCTGTGGTAGGGGCATTCGCATCTTACGGGCGGCAATATTCCTGAGTGGGTATATAAGATTACAGTAAAGAGCGATATTCCCACGTTGACATAAGGTTTTGCCTATTCCTGTGCGGGCGCCGTGCTCACTCATATGGCGAGTATCCTTCACATAGTATCATAGGGTATCCAAGGTAGCACCCGCTCACTGTATGGGTATTGTACGGTACTGCACAGTGGATTACCGGTAGTCCACATTTAGGGGGGGGGGGAGATGTCTACAGAATCTCCCTTCCACCAGACCCTGCTTTTTAGTGAAGGCAGATCTTGATTGAATAAGCCACGCTGTAGAAACCTCTGCAATTCTACGTACTGTATTTCTCAAATAATAGGTGCTGAAGGTTCGTCATCGCCATCTTGCCTAATGCCCGATGTGGAGTCCCATTAATCTCTCACGAGCGACACTCTTCTGCTTCCCTGGCATGATATTGCTTTTTAAACTGACCTGTGGTCATACTTGTACTCGAGTACTGTCCCTCGAAACGACCCTATTCCATGAACAAGGGAATGAGGAGGAAAAGGGCAAAAAAAAAAAAAAAAAAAAAGTAGAGAAGGGAGAAAAAACAAAGAAGCGAAAATATATGATCGTAAATATCAGAAAAGGGCCTTTGCCGTCACGTCGTTCGAGTACCTTGTGTGGGACGCCTCCTGTACTAATACTGGTAAATCGGGCACACCACACTTGGCTGCAAAGACACATTTGAGAACGCGAGCAGGTCGAATCACGAAGGGGGCGAAAGAGAGAGAGAGCCAGGGGGTGGGATTTAAACCCATCCATAGAGTCCAGACCCTTGCCCCGCCATAGTTTACTTGCTTGCCCTCTATTATCCAATTGTGGAGAGGGACTGCGATGTGTAGATTTTGGCAATGAGACTTGCTACTGTAGTGTTGGTACTGATTTTTAGCCAGCATCTTCTAATAACACTGTGTTAGTTGGGAAAGACAGGGCCAGCCAAATGATCACAATCCGCCCGAACCTGAGTTCAAGCAACGATGGGTTATGTTTCAACCTTTTCCTATCGACAGTGCCACATTCGGTTTAAATATCAGTAATTCCCTCCACGTTGGAGTTGTAGGAGTACTTCTTACAGCATAATAGACAGCCAGGGAGCTCGAGTAGCTTTCTGATATTGAGATTCTCCATTGGCTCACACACATGACAAGGTTTCTAAGGATAGTAATTATCATACACAGAGAAGGGCAATAATCCGGGGATCCAGACTGTACCAAAAGGGAATATTGTGATCAAGCACCGCGTACCGGCGGGAGAAAGCGCAGTACACAATAGGTAGTTTCATCTGTAGGGGATTCCTTAAGCGGTCATGGTTTGGTTAAAGATCTGTTCACTCGCTATATACACTGAAAACAAGCTCTCACACTCACTACTCGTAGTCGCTGCTCTCTCTACAGCATAGTATCCCACTCGCTCTTATTAATATTCACCGTTTCCGTCTATCCGTTGCGCGGGTATCTCTATCATATCTATCTTACAGTACCTTTTTGTTTACCCCCCGTCCAGGACCCTCTCTAACCCCCCCATTCCACACCACAGTGTCCATAACACCATTTCTCTACTGGGCCGAAGAAAGCGAGGCCAAATACAGGGAGCCCCACGAACTGCGTATCGAACAATATTTTTCATCTTCTTTTCGTCTTTTGGCCTCCACGCCTGAAACCAACCTTCTTCCTTCGCATCTGCTGCCACAACCTCTTCACCTTCTTTCTCATTCCCCTACTAAGGGCCGAAAAGAAGGCCCTAGGAACCATCCCCTCTATAACCGCCTAGGCGATATAGGGAAGCCGCAAAAGAAGGCCGAGGGAGCTGAAGCTTTGGCGTTGTTTTTCCCTCTCCCTTTTGCCCAACCTTACTTTACCTTCCCACCACGATCACAACCATATCCAACCCCCTTCCAGCCTGGAGTCCCGTTCCCCATTCTCCCATTTCCACACTCAATACAGTATTCTTGTGCTTTCTTTTGCCGTACCGCAAAGCTTCTTTCTTTTCTTTTTTACCTCTCGACCACACACACTCCATTTCGCAAGATCTCCGGCGAGTGTGACAGAGGCCTGAGAGCGCAGCGACCAGCTCCTCGGTTCCGGACTATTAGCAGCAGCCCTCAAAAGTACTCGTACTGCTTTCACTGTGCTGAACACAGAGAATTCAATCCCACACCCTCTCTCTCTCTTTCTCTCTTTTTGCCTCCCCCCCCTCTCTCTTGTTGGACTAACTTTCCCACTTGCAACTATCTTCCTCCCTCTTTACCCCCCCCCCCCCACCCACAAATTTATCTGCCCGTCGCTTGTCTTCTCTTCTCGCTAGCTTTGCTACCCCGTGCAATTTTGAGAAAGAGTATTACTTTCCTTCACTCTCACTCACCAGCTCTTTTATTTCTGCTTCTCTCTTGTCGAATACGTACCGCAGCATAAGTTGTCGATCTTAACCGTCAATAGACGACTAGCATTCATCTGCCTTGTTAAGAAAAGCGCCGAAGGGTGTCGCCGCCCGCCTGCTTCTCGCGGGGTCTAGCTTCGGCGTGCTAGGAACTCGATTTTAACGGTTTGGTTGATTGATTTTGCCTCGTGCAACCAGGACCCTCCTCGTCAAAAAGTCCAGGTTCCCCCCCCCCTCTTCCCTCATCCTCTTTAGTGAACAACCAACCCGCTCTAAAGAGGAACCCAACGAAACCTCACCTTGGTGCCTGTACGTGCTACAAAACCCTCAATCACTCTATAAAACCACTTTGACACTCTCCTCTGTGTTCATTCCTATTATCCTCCTACCAGTCCTCTTCTGAGGTGTGGATAGTGCAGGTATGTCTTGGGATCGACGACAATCTTCCTCAGGCACTGCGCCTACAACGACCTTACCTTCGCTAGCCAATATCACCAATGGCCCCACGGTCAGCAAACCTAATTCAGTGCACGGTCACTCTCCTCCGTTAAGTCAACAGTCTGGTGATTTGAGGGATTCGGGGAACTGGTCTATGAATTCTGCACGAGCAAGCAATAGTAAGTATCTCCTTCGGCCCTTTTTTCCTCGAGTTGTTTCTCGGGTTTTTTTTCTTTCCTTTCCCACTTTGAACTCGTTCATTCTATCGATACGGCCAGCCCTTCCCTATCGTTGGGCTAAGGTGGGTCGTGCGCGACTGGAACATATGATGTACTAACAAAGCAGAAGTTTCTGAATCATCGTTCTCACCTCAATTGACTCTTCCTCCGATTGAGCCACACGGGTCGACACGCCAACATGCACAGGACACAAACAACCCTTCCTTCAGCTACAATCACTCCCCAACGAACAGCACATTTGCTGCCTCGACTACCAGCCTTCACACCACTCCGCCCGCAGGTGCATACCAGGCAACCGATGTATTACCGACTCCGTCACCATCAGCTTCCCGTCGAAGCAGCTTTGACAGTCGCCTGGGAAATTTGAATTTATCGTCACCCGTTAACGGAACGCCGGCTGCGAGCCAAGTCAGTCTCGCGAGCACACTGCAGCGTGAGAGGGGAATACACAGCAATTCGCCTGCATCCCATCGTGTGGAGAATGGTGACACCAATGGTTCGTCAACCGGCGGTCCGTATGGTGGGACTGCTCGTAGGTATACTTCGGCCGCGAATTCCGGTAATGGATACTCTCCATCACACAAGTCGAATGGTATGGTAAGGACAGCGCCTCCGATTGTTGGAGCACCAAGGTTTCCGTATCTTAATGGGCCGCACCCTCACCCTAATGCACCATCTCCAACTAAGGGTTACCCCTATGCGTTTCCCGACCCGGACTTTGCCGGCCCCCCTTCGAGGAGTAGCCGAGATGGGATACCCGGAAGGAACAGCACCAGCAGCCTGGTTGGGTCTACGGCAAGCAGCATATACAGCACCAACTCTGGGTTGTTACATCCTAATCATGCTGAAAATGGGAATGGTAACTTTTCGGGAGGTCAGCATGCCCAGGCCGCAAATGGGAACCAGCATCACCACCACCATTTGCAGACCAGGAAGCCAAGCGCTGGAGCTGGTGGGGATTCGGCATCTCCCCCGGTTACCCCTTACTCTCGGACACCGGAGTTACGAGTAAGCCACAAACTTGCGGAGAGGAAGCGGAGGAAGGAAATGAAGGATCTGTTTGACGAGCTGAGGGATCAGTTACCTGCCGAGAGGGGAGGGAAGAGTAGTAAATGGGAGGTCTTGACCAAAGGTGGATTACAATTCTTGGCCATTCATGTTACTATTCGAGGATGCTAATTGCCGGTTTAGCCATTGAATATATCAGCCAGATGAAACAATCCCACGATACCATGATGCGTAACCATGAAAATATGCAGCGCGAGCTCGACACTCTTCGAAGCGATGCTCAGAACTACCACGCGGTGCGGAATGAGCTTGAAACGCTCCGAATGAGTGTGCACGTCCCGGGCCAACAGAACTATCACCAGCAGCAATCCAACTACCATCAACAGAACCATCATTCTGGGCACAATGTTGGCGGATCGGGGCGCATGCAAGGCATTGAAAGGTGTTGATTGTAGTTGACCGTACCTTCATTTTCATTTTCATTTTCAATAGTCCAAACCGGGGTGCATGGTTTTTTTTCTCTTCTCATGTTATGATTAAAAGAATGTTCGGGCGACTTTCCTCCCCTTTCCCTGGGCCCGAAGTCCGTTTTCACAAGGAGCGGATAATACCAGACCTTCGATCAATGCGCCTGGATGCTTGCTGGAGCAAGTTACTCGATTTACTCTCCTCCCTCTACTTCTTTCCGCTCTCAGATCCTCCTCACCTTGGATTCATTCTAGCAAATGGCCTGGACGGCCGCCCTGCGAACCAGGTCGACTTGAGCCAACCTTGTCATTCGGGTCAAACAATTTCGCGCCCCTTCTCACCTATACTGTTGATTCTGCTCTCTTCTGCTTTCGTTTATCTTGGCTACAAAAGAAATCCCGGGGCGTTCTACCATTGGCTTGGACATGGGCCACCTTTCCTTTCCTTTCCTTACAATCTTTTTTTGTTTTTGGAATTTATACACTACGCTATGCATGGTCGCAGATCTCCCCTTTTCCCCCTTTCACACGCAAGGAAAAGAAAGAATCGGTGGTCGGGGCGGGGATTTCTTTGAGTACAGTACACTGCCGTCACCCCCACTGCGAGCGGGAAGGATGACCTTTCGAACTACCGAGATGGGGGCGCGGTGCGGTACGAGTAAGGAGAATAACGTTGGGACGTGACAGGATGGACAGCATAGGCAGGGCGCGAGCTCGGGTATGGTACAGGTGCGGGTGTCTAGGGATCACACATTTTTCTCATCCGGTTCTTGATTTTCCTTTTTATTCTAGGTTCGGTGTTGGTAACTTCCTTTTTCGATTTCACCATCTCATTTCTGCTGGAGCTCGAAATTATTTTTTTTGTCTGGGTTATTTTCTGGGTACCTGTATCTTTTTTCCGGTTTTCATATTGTCATGACGGATGGGAGGGGATTCTGGTAATCGGGTATTTGGTCTGGCTTGTCTCCTTTTTTCCTCTTCTCTCTTTTGTCATGTTCCCCCTTACTTCATTTCGTCATTGTGTTTTTTTTTGTTTTTCTTTCTTTCTTTCCTTTTTATCTACTGGCTCGAGTGCAGGTGGATAAAGGCGGATGGGATTGGGCGAAGGAGAGTAAGAGAGAGGGGAAGGAAAAAATATCTTCACACCTGGTGTTAGGGCCCCCGGGAAATCAATGTATTATCATAATTACTTGACGCACTCGTACAGCTACCGCGAACGTGGGGCGATCCATACAAACGGACGAGCAAGCAACAAGCAATAGAGCAAGCAAGCAAACAAACAAACAAACAAACAAACAAACAAACCAAAAGATGCATCCTATCATGGGAGCTCTTCTCTCCCCCTCTCCCCCTCCTTCATTGAAGTTCATTCTCCCCCTCCTCCTCCATTTCCTGCGGTGGCATATGCTGGGCGCGAAGGAGAGAGAAAAAAAAAGATAGCTTTAGGGCCGGATGGGGAAATTGATCGACTCATCATCCATCCATCTACCTGTACTCGAGTAAATTACAGTATCCATCCATCCATCCATTCACTCGCGTTGTGTGCGTGGGTGCGTGGGTGCGTGGGTGCGCGTTCGTGCGGAACAGCCAGAAAATAACGTGGGAGGGCGACCGTGGGTGGTCTGTACCGTACGGTACTCGTACGGCGTGCGGTGGCTATCACATCACATCACATCCTTATCGTAGAGTTTAAATTACACGTGGCGGTCCGCTGGTAAGGTCTCTTTTTTTATTTTTATTTTATTTTTTTCACTGTTACTCTTTTACCGGTATTCTTACTCATTGTCATTACCGCCATTTTTTTTTTAATCCCTTTTTAACCTCGTTTCGAGCACGTGTTTTTGGGGACCCCTGTCTGCTACAGCAGTTTGTCACGGTAATTCCTTCGCACGGCGGGCGTGTTGTTGTAATCACCCTGGACGGGTTGACTCGTGGCTCGCCGTGCCTTTCTCGTGGGGGTCGGGTAAGTTTAAGTTTGCCTTACTCGAGTGTAGTTGTAGCTTTTGTTGGGTTGGATTGATTGATTGATTGATTATTCGGGGGGGTGGGGAACTGGGGGCTTGGTTGGTTGGTCGGTCGGTCGGTTGGTGTGTCGAATGAATGAATGAATGAATGAATGATTGGTGGAAAGGAAGATTGTTTTTTTTTCTTTAATTTAATCTTTACCCTTCTCTTTCTGGCTCTCTGGCTCGCTCGCTGCTTTTGCTGTTTACTTGCCCTCGCTTTTTGGTCAAGTTATGGTATTGTATCGTGCGTGGGTGGGTAGGTATGGATAATGAGGAAAGCGATTCGAGGGGTATCTACTCGTACGACAAGTATGGGGAAATTTTTTTTCCTTTTTGTTTTTTTTTGGTTGCCACGCGTGGTTTGGTTTGGTTAAGCGGGATCAGAAGTGGGGGCGAGGTGGGGGCGAGGTGGGGGGGGGGGGAGGATCTGGCCGTCGTTTCGAGTGAGGGTGTGTGATTCCTCGGTTTGATTGGGCTTACTCCCCCCCCGCTTCCTTAATCTAATATTATAAGTTTGCGGCACGACGGTTTACCGGTAACTAGGGAGTCGGGATTTAGACTTTCGATTTTTCGATCGGGGATTATGATATCGTATCATGCGATGTCGGGTTTTATGGTTGTCGGCCGGGTTTAACCGCCGTAATTCTCCGGAGATGAGTAAAGTTACCGCCTTCCTTCGATCCCGAGTGATTATACATGATCCTGATGTTATATTGTGCCGTTGCTGATTGATATATGACGAACTGATCCGAACTAACCGCATGTGGTGGTCTGGGAGGAAAGGGTTCTTCCTTCGTGAAGAGTGTATGGCGGGGTACGGTGCCGTGCTCGCGATCGAAACCGCTTGCTCTTCGGGAGACACGACCACCATTACGTGAACACCCGGATTCGGGCGAAGGAGTGGACTGCGTTTGGTGGTATGTAATAGCAGTCGTGCCCGAAAATCTCTGGTGGCAGGCGGGGCAATGGAACTCACTTGGACTATAGACTGTAGAGAACTAGCTCGGTGCCGTGTCCAGCCTCTCGCCCTCTCACACACCTGTCCCCGTCTCTGCTGGAAAAACAGATTTAGAATCCAGCATGGCCAGCCTTCACTTCACCTCCCTTCCCAATGAGGTGATTCTCGAGATATGCACCTCACCCGTACTGGAGATACCGGATATTGCCGCCGTTGCGCGGGCAAGCCGGTTTATGCGGGCCCTCGTTATGCCGGCTCTCCGTGCCGAGATGTTCAAACGGCGTAGCAGCAAATACTGCAGGAGAGCTCTCTACCATGCTGCGGAACGCCGGGACCTGTTTTCCGTGGGGTCGCTGTTGGGACGTGGGGTCCTGGGCATCCTCGAGGATGGCGCTACTCTCCTCAACAGTGCGGTGGGAAGGCTGAGCGATCGGGGGCTGGAAACGCTATTGGTCTGCGGCGTTGACCCAAACACCGAGGATGAGAGAGGGCGCACGCCGCTGATATGCGCAACGTCGGGCAGATGCTTGGGTGCGATAAGAGTACTGTTGGCGGATGATAGGGTGGACGTGAATCGCGCTTGGATATTCGGCGATTTCGCCTCTCTGCATCTGGCTGTGTGGAATGAGGACCCTGATGTAGTGCGATTGTTGTTATCGTGCCCTAGGGTAGCGGTGAACCAGGGCAGTGGGTCGGTGCCATCGGGGACTTCGATATCCGAGCGTGATGGACGGGTCTTTGCCAGGCTGCTGGAGGACCTGAGGGAGGGCGAGAGCCCCCCTATGACTGGGGGATGGCCGCCACTACATGCAGCCATTGCTCGGAGCGGTCAGGCTATCTATGGAATTTTGCTTCAGGATGAGAGAGTTGACGTTAATTTGCCTTCTGTCGGAGGAGAAACCCCGTTGCGTGTGGCCGTTCGACACGATAACATACCCGCTGTGTGCACGCTGATGGCTCACCCCAGGATCCAGTTGCACCAATTGGGTGGAACGATCCTACATTTCGCTGTGGCGTACGGTGGGACATCCATGGTCAAGGCCATTCTGCGTTCCGAAAGTGTTTACATTAATTGGCCGAATTTGGGAGGAGCGACCGCGTTGCACCTGGCTGTGTCTCGTGGGAGGAGGGACATTATCCCATCGTTTCTCCGGTGCGAGGATATTGATATTGAAATAGTGGATGGGGAGGGGCTGTCTGCGAGAGATCGTGCGCTTCCAGATTATCCAGATATTGCGAGATTATTGACCGTCAGGCAAATTGCAGGGCGGAGACAGATGGACTACCTGGCTATTGCGCTTTGATCCTGGAAAGGATGGAAGGAGACCGAGGCACAGGGACAGGGGTTGAGTGAATGTTTAGTTTTTCACAGGATAGAGTGAATGCCTGAGCTTACCGAGGTTTCTTCCACTGTCGGCTTGTGATATATGCTTGAGGCCCTGGTGTTTGTCTAGGGGGAAATTGGGGGTGGGGGACAGGCCGATGCCAATTAACAGCCCCCGACCCTTTCTTTGGGGGATTTAGTTATTGTCCTGTCCTTTGGGCAGCGTTTTGTGTGTATCTATTTTATTTTTATTTTTTATGTATTCTTCGAGTTCTCTGAGGAATGAAAACTGGACTCGAAAGTCCTGTCGATTGTTACATGTATTTGTCAACGCTTTCTCCCTCTTTTTTTTTCCTGGAGCTGTGTGTAGCACTTGGAGAGATAGAGAAAAAAAAAGTAGATATAGAGAGTGAGAGTAAGCCCCGAGCACAAAGAGTTACTGGGGGGATTGGCTGGTGAGTGAAGTTTATCCAACGTTACAAGAGACAGATAGTTTCCAAAGCGGGTGAAATGGCAAACTGGAGAATGAAGCCTTTTTTTTAATTCAATCTAGGAACCTGCCAATACCAAGGCCACCACTATTGTACTATACAACTCATCATGGCTGATGGACTTGTTTCTCTAGCCGTTGGCATCGTGGATTTCATGATCGAGTGATGGATGGTGATGCGTTGTGATTTTTAGTATCCTACCGCACCGTACTGTATGTAACTGTAACTATAACTGTATGATGTCGCGCTTTGTGATGTTTGGAGCGAAAAATTCCGGTTTACTTTGCTACAGCCCTGTGAAAAAAAAAGAAAAAAGTATTGAAACGAGGCGGCTTGGCGCAACTGATGTGGGGAGCTTCAGCGATACAAGATAAAATCTGAATAGCAAGAAATAATGAGTTAGTAATAGTTATGGTAGTTTAGAGTATACAATAGAGGAATCAACAGTGGAGTGGGTAGGGTCCTCATGGGCCTTTCCTAAAGCTACAATTTGCCTTGGTATACTATTGATCTGTTTATATATCTGATTCTGAGTCTACTGTGACTCTTCTCATGCCTCTTGTACAAGTTGTATGATTTTATTGTGACTGTGAGGGTGTTGAGCAGGATTTTGTGTAATCTTCCTGAACTTATCCTTCTATATAGAGCACACATTCTCAATTGGATTCATATCTGTTAGTGGTAAATGGGATGGCTAATCCATTCTTTTAATCTCATTAAGGAGTTGAAGATGTTGGTAAAGGCTGAAGTAATAGCTAGTTCCATCTTCAAGTTTGATTGTTTCTGTACCTGAATTCAGGTCCTTCATCTGTCAATAGAGTGGTATGATATATGGTACTATTACCTCATCTACATATTGGATTTAATAGAACCTAAGATGATTTTAAAATGACTTGGAGATTTTCTCTGCTTTAGTTCTTTGCTACAGGGAGATGAGTGGGCTATGCACTTAGGTTATGAATGCACCAAAGAACTAAACTGTAACTGATTGGCCTACAAAGGTTTAAGTTAAATACCTTTTCACAAATACTGTGCTGGAAGGACATCATATAGTTGGTTGCTAGAATAGCTGTTCAACCTGAAGATAGGCTTCATTGGTATATACATGGTATCGCTACCACTCAATTAGCTTAGAATAATACTGACATGTAAAGCAGTAATGCTTATATAATTTTTTATATATTAAATATAGCTTTTGGTAGCAGACTCTAAGTCACATATAAAGCTTCTCTCCTTAAAGGAAGTCCTCTACAGTTCTTTCAGAAATATTAAGTTTCAAGTTACGAGCAAGATTACAAAGAATAGCATCAGGTTCTGATGCAAAACTATAAGTTAGAGATGGCATTTATCTCAGGCTGAGAGCTTGTTTGGTCTTTCTGGTCTCTGTTTATTATTAACATAATTTTTGTCTTGTTAATACTTCATAATACACTATGCTATTACTTTAGAGATATCTAAGACATTGTTAATGTACCTATAGGACCATCCTAATACATGCTTTTCAATTACTGACATGTTTTTTTGCAAGTAGAGTCATGGGTCTTTATACTTTGAGTTAAATTAGTCACTGGTATTATGAGTTTGAGACGGTTGTTGATATGTAGGGTAGTGTTTTACTTGGATGTACTAAGCAGTCTTATTTTAATACTTTTTTCATGTATAGTTCTGGAAGGCTGGCCACTAAATCAGTTTTCACATAAAAAGTATGACAATTTTTCCTGCAACAGCAACTGCCGTGTAATGCCTCTAAAATATGCTACCCTTCCTTACTAAACCTAAAACCCTAACACTTAAACCTATAAAAGCTTACTTGCCATTTACAATATTACAATAAAAATTAATAAGATTACTGGCATGTTAAATTATATGTTTATCCTATAAGAATACATATTTTTATCATTCTCCAACTTTTTTAACAGTCTCTACTATTGTGAAATTCTGCTCACTCACATATATTATACTGGAATAATACCTTGTTATTATAATCTCCATAACTGTTAAGAATCCTACCGGGTAGGACCTAGCGACAGGTAACGATACTTCTCTATAAGGTGATAGCTCTCAGGCCTGTGCCTACGCGATCCCGATAGTCCAGTCCTTTGACTACTATCGTGTTCACGCCTATCTACTTATCCTTCTCCTTAGTCCTCACTCAGGACTTAGTCGTTCGACGTGGGAGGAGAAATAGTTTTCTCGCTTGAGAGGAAAGACAATTTTCGGGTTTCTTAAGATAGATCTTAAAGAGCGTAAAGGTAGGTTTTATTGATAATAACTTAAAGGTAGGAAATAAACAAGAAGAATGTGTGAAGAGCTCATACTCGGGGTCCTAGTGACCCTTTATATAGTTCGCTCTTCACCTGGCGTGACTCACACCTCGCGTCACGCAAACCCCGTGACTCATAACCATGAGTCATATGAAATCCATCAGACGACTCCTATGAGTCGCTGCACAACATGCCTAAACCAATCAAAACATAATAACCAAGTTAGGTGCGCAACTCGCGTCACCTGAGTGAAACCCATGACTCATAAGTATGAGTCATGTGCGAAAATCATAACATCGTGTGACTCACAACTGTGAGTCACGAACAGGTAAACATAATAACCTATAGCGCACTAGTGTGCCTCATGTGAAATCCCAACATACCTATAACTCGGAAATCCGAGCTATGTGAAATCTTCCTTGCTTAGTCACAGTTCGTGACAATAACCTACTTTGATGGAGAGGTGGTTTTAGAGTTTAAGATTTTATAAATTCAAAGGTTAGGGTTTTGGGTTTAATAAGGAAGGGTTGCATATTTCAAAGGCATTATAGTTGCTGTCGCAGGAAAAATTGTCATACTTTTCATATGAAAACTAGTTTAGTGGCTAGCCTTCCAGAACCATAGCTGGCTATTCTATAGACTAATAAGATATGCAGATTCTTGACCTTTCAATCCAGGCAATAGTAGCAAGTAGGGTGTGTAAGAAATTTATTATTAATCACTCATGTGATATCGGATACTAGCAATTAAGCCTATTCTGTAAAAACTTACAGTATGGTATAAAAATTGAAAAAACAATTTCATTGCTTGCATAAGGGTAATTTACAAACTGCATACCAGGTTCTGGTCTTACTAATATGATGCAGAATCTCAAATTGTTACCAAATTAGTGGAGGATCCTTAGAATCCCCATAGACTTTCTTGTATTGACAATACTAGTACTGCTAGTACTCATACTATCAAGATAGTAGTTAGTGGTTACTCATAGTCTGAAATTGGAAGGAAGGAAGTACTGCTTTTACTATCACATTGGAGTAAATATCTGGTTGAGCTTACTGAATGAGAGGATAGAGTTTTGATAAACCACTCTCTACAAGAGCAAGTGTAAGGTTATAGCAAAAGTTCTTATACTTAATTAGTAGTCAGAGTAAAAATATAATAAGCCTGAGGTACATATTTGTAATTGTGGTATTCAGTGCCTAAAACTATAATAGAAGCCAGTTCCTCGTAGTCTTTTGATAATACGGGTAGTAGTTACTGCGAAGCTGATTAGTAATATCTACTCCACCTATATACTAATTGTAGTTGTTAACTAATGCTAGAATAAGAACCAGTTTTTAGTATCTATTATCAGTAAAAGGCTTGCAAGCAGTGACTGAATTGGTACTAGTCATTTTTGGTTTTTGTTAATTACTAAGTACTAGCTGACAAAGATTATAAACAGTTGTTAAAAAGAGAACTGTATTGTTGTCCTGCTATAGGACAGTACAAACTCCATTTACAACTACTCCGGATGGATGATTCCACTCTGGTATCTTGATAGTGATATCTTTACTAATAGTAAATATTTGTAGAAAATTAGGACATTTGGCTTAAGTTGTTCCTATAGCTCTAATATTAGAAAACCATCAAAAAGTTTGAAAAACTTATTTTAACTAAACTTATAATTCATATAGTTGTATAAGATAAGAGAATAGGTTTTATTGATATAGGTGTAGGAGTCTGTTATTCTTGTAAAATTACTAACTTCATTTCCAGTTACACTGGAGTAAAAAAGAAAAAGGTATATGTATCTATAATTATATAGTGTATAGATTTTATATCCTTGATCAATTAGCTTTCCTGAAAGTTTGATCATATGTGCTGATCTTCCCTTATACAGTACCATCATTTTATTGAAGGAAAGATTTGAGAAAGGTAAAAAATGTTGAGTGAAATGCTGGTATAAATGTAAAGCTAATGGTTCTATCTTTTACCACTAGTCTCTTCACTCATAGATTTTGTTATAGAGGGATATATGTAGGTAATATTTGATTTGCTTGGACTGGTTACAGGACATAGATTGCACTATTGGATGATAGGTTCCAGTTTGCCAGTGGTCTTCAATTGCAAGTAAGTAGTTTATTTCTATTCAAACTTAGAGACCAATAAATATCTGTACTTCTGAAATACTAACTAGGTCCAAGGATACAGGGTGCTAGCTCTGAGTCAATTAGCTTTAAAAACTTGTAAGTTGTTATTTAGTAAGAACTCTTACTCTGCTTCTTATTATATTTCTATATACTGGTTTATGTTTTTCACAATCGATGCTAATATATCTTCTCCATAGAATAGAACAAAGATACTCAATAGTGTTGGGTTTTGATGAATTGTAGATGGAAGGATCGGTTTGGAAAAGTAAAGAGAAAATAGGCTTTGGTACATATCAAATGTAGGTGGTTCATGTAGACTCTAGAGGATTTGAGTCTCCTTGCTGGTAAGTATTTTGGTACTTTTATTCTTTAATTATAATAATGTTAGTTTATAAAAGCTATTAATATTATCATATACAATATATTATATGTATTCAATCTCATTAGAAACTTGAAGAAAAAAAACTTACTAGTAACTCCCCAACAGGTTTCTCAGAGATTGACTACTTTTTACATTTCTTGGATAGAATAATTAACTGACAGAAGGGGGAGCCTGGAACTATCAGTTGTTCAGGACTCATTTTGCTTGTTTAATAACTGTATTTACATCTATTTCAAAGTTGAGGTGAGGTGCTCTGGCTTGCTTACTAAAAGACAAAGTACTCATATTTGCTAACCCATTTAAGAAGGTCGAGAATCTGCATGACTCATCGGTCCATGAGATACCGGTAGTGAAGTGAAGTATGATAAGTGGTCTTGGTTGGTTTGTTGGACGATTGTGAGCGGCTTGTGGCGATAAGGTAGGTAGTTTGTCTTAAAATGTCTGATATATGCCTTGTTTATTTGTTTATTTGTTTATTTATTTGTTCCTGTTGTTGTACCGTACAGTGCTACTTGGGCCCATGGGTCACATCTGGGATTTGGGGGGGTTTTTTTTTTTAATGTTTTTCTTTGCGGGTCGTGAGGGGGTAATACCGGTACTATGATTACGGTTTTCTTTGTTTTTTTTGTGATTTGTGGGCTTACTGATAGCGATGATTTTGCACCCTTCTCCTCTTTGAAAACCTCGTTTCTGTAGGGTTAAAGCCGAGAGGGAATTTTTACTTCCGTGGATGTACTGTATCTTGCCTTTCAGCGACCGAGTTTTTTTTTTTTCCTTGTCGATTCTTTGGTGATTATGATTGGCTAAAGCGAGGGTTGGAAATCGTTACAGTGGTATCATACACGGATGGGAGGGTTGAATTTATCTGTTGAGCAGAGTGACTGAACGCCCGGCGACGACCTGAAGAAATCGTGGGTAAGTGTAGGTAACAGTGCTCGAGTATTGGAGGATCTTCATGAGTGAAGATTTTGGACATCAGAGGAAATTTTGAAAGTGCATACGATTAGTTTCTGACTTGAACTATCCCCCCCCGCTGGCATATTTTGCGGCCTAATTTATCCGATAAGGATGGTTCGGGTTTCCCTTTTCGGGATGAGATGTACGAGTACGGTATTAGCCGGCAGCTTGTTGTTGTTGCCTATTCTCTTGGCATGGAGGTGATAGGCTAGCCTTCTCTTGACTGATAATAGTGTGACACCGGGTCGATCCCCGCTTTTGCTCTGATGGAAGGGGATGTGGAATCCGTCGACCTCCTTCACCGCTATTCTCCTCTCACCCCCTCACTGCTGGGGCTTTATCCTCCATGGATACATTCCCTACGGGGCATGGAGGATCAAGCTCCAGTGGTGATCCTCACTGGTATGGCTTATCGAACACCCCTACCGGCCATAGCATCACCAATAGTATTCGTGGCGACTCGAATACGAATGTTGGGAGTGTGTCAAACAGTTACGGTAGCACCTCTAACATGGGAGTGGACGAGGAGTCTTTACCGGTCCGAGCACCACTCGAACCCCATAGAAGGCATCGGGATGGCTCGGTGAATCCTACTTTGCTAGGTTATGGAGTTCAGGGGGTTGGCAAGACCTATATAAGGTATGATACAGGAGTAATTCTCGATAGATAGACCGCAGGCGATGCTGACGAACAAGAAAAATAAGTTCATTAGTGATAGACACCCTACGCGGGCGAGCCCGTGGACGGGGTATGGCTGTATTATCTCTCTACTGCGATTACCAGGCACGGAAGGAGCAGTCGCCGGTAAATATGATAGGGGACCTAATCGAGCGAGTTGCTTTGAGAGCAGTAGGCGAATTGCGGCGCCAGGACCCACCCGAGTTTCTTCGCGCGTTACGACAGATTATTCAAGATGCACCGAATACGCGGCTATTTCTTACAGGGAGGCCCGATATTCGGAGGGAGCTTGACAGGCATCTCACGAATGGGGCCTATATCGTACACATTGTGGCCGACCAAGGAGATACCGCGAGACACGTGGGTCAGGGAATTGACGACGAGTTTGATTACACGAGTTCTGGAAAATGATATCATTACAATCTTGGAAAAGGTTTCGGAGATGTAAGTAGGGACGACTCTGTTACAAATATGGATGGATCATTGATACTCTGCGAAGGTTTCCGTTCGTTGCACTGGATATTGAGGCAATCTTTGGCAGGGAGAAAGGAAATGTTGCAAAAGGTGGACCTCGATAGTGCATACGCCCAAACACTGCAGCGAATAAGGGACCAAGAGGGACCGGTCAAGGCTTGGGATGGAGGCGCTGATGTGGGTATCCCACTCGGAGCGGCCGCTACGCATTGACGAACTCTGTCACACCCTGGCAGTAGACCTGGAGTCGACGGATCTGGACCCTGAGAACACCCGCCCGCGGGATGCAGCCCTAGTGTCGTGTTTAGGGCTTGTTGTGGTTGATAAGGAGACATCAATAGTGCGCCTAATCCACTACACGCTTCAAGAATACCTACCCCGACGAGACGCTTGCACAGGCATGCTTGATCTATCTGAATTATGAGCAGGCTAAGGGGCTTCCGGCCAATAGCATCCCTAACCTGCGACACATACCATCTCTCGAATATTCTTCCTTCTATTGGGGAAACCACGCAAGAGCAGAACTCTAAGATTATGCGAAATCACCTGCGCTAGAGCTTCTAGCCCGGTAGAGGGTGATATCCATATATCTGCTACCTTACTTTTCAACCAAGGAATGACTGGTCATTCTCCTCCTCCTACCCACCGCCTATTTGGTGGTTTTCACAGCGAATCGTGCTTTGGGATCGTTGGGGTTGTGGCTGCTTTGATAGAGGTGCAATGCTGTGATATTGGTTGAAGAGATTGTATGGGTTGTACACCGCTTATGTGGGCTGCCCGGCGAGGGCATGAAGGTGCGGTGGGGCTGTTGCCCACGGGATGATGCCAACCCCGACCAGCAAGACAATGATGGCCGAACGCCACCCTGGTGGGCTTCCCGGGGCGGACATGGTGGGGTGGTTAGATTACCTTTTGATTCAACTTGGCGTGTCGTTAACCTCTCGCCCTCGTTCTCGACCCCCCCCCCTCGTTTACGGTTGTTCATAAATCTTAATTTCGGAAGCCAATTTTAGCTAGTGGTTGCTTAGAGGAGATCTCTTTTGTGTGTACACTTGTTCCCCTCTGAGTTTTGATACGCGATTTCTTCTTGTGCTACAGTAGTATATGTGAATACCTAGCCTCTAGTTATCTAGTTTTATGTGTGGTGCAAATTGTGGGGGAGGAGGCGGGTACTGTTTTTTTCTCGTGGGGGGTTCGACATTATAGCTCGATTTCTCGCTACGCCACACCCTACCTGTTTTTTCCCCCGTTTTCTACCTTTCTCCTTGTTTTGTTTCTCCTGCGGACTGCCGAAATTACTGGAGGTTGTTTTAATGGAAATATTAATCCGGCTATAAGTGCCCCTGACACAATTGCACATAGTAAGCCGAATATTTGCACGTAGTGCGGAGACCAATTCATCACCTCGGAGAATTCGTATCGGGAGTAGCATCACCACTGTCGGTTTATTATTGTGTGCTTGAACGATGCTTGTGGGAGTGAGGATACCATTGCTTGTTTATTTATGGGAGGTTTTATTTTTACGAAAGGTGTACCTGCAAAGCGAGAACAAGTTGGGCGTCATATAGCCTTCGTCTCAAGTTTTGTGGGCTCCTTGAATTGACTGAAGCCCAGAGGTTTTGGAGGTCCTTTCTTCTACCCTAACCCCACCCATAGTCCGGCAACAACCAAACATCCCTAGCAAGCCTGGTGGGATGAGGGAGTGAAAGGAAAAAAAGGAGGGGAAAAGGAACCGACTGATATCTCAGACTTGATTGAAAATATAGAGGAAAGCTTCCCACCAGATCTCCACATTGTCGGGAGTCGTGTGTCATTGGGCTAAGGGTTTCTTCCATAAACGGGCCAAATCACCCCAAATCCGCTCGAGATCTCGGACCCACGCCACGCCAGCCCCCTGGTACCAACCTAGCGATCGAATAAACTTATGGCTGCGGGGCTACCGGTATTCCATGGCAGTTCGGACTACTTCTCTGGAAGCTTCGCTGCGAAGCATCATCACGATCTGATAGGATACGAAAGAAGGCTGTTAGAAAGAAAGACGGGAAGGGACCTTTTGATATGTGGAGGCGAGATCCTCGAAGATGAACAGGGGTTTGTCTGTCTGTATGAGTGGATTCATAGGAAGCCTTAATCCAGGGAAGCCTTTGCCAGCCGAGGATGGTTACGATGTCTAGGGGTGGGCGTGCTTTATATAACTTATACACTATCATATAAAAAATCATCTCCTCCTAAGCTGTGTCGGGGGCACCAATGGACTGGGCAATCTCTCATGGGATGTGTACCTCTACGACGTGAAAGACCCTCCCCTCTAGCTACATTTTTTTGTGATTTTAATATCTGCTATTCTCGCTCGTGACTGGAGGTATGGTAATACAATCGGTAGCGGGTTCGGAGGTTCTGAGGTGAGGTGTGGAACGCTGTTGATGACTGTCATGGTTCTGTTATATGACACCTTAACTCGGCGTTGCAGTAGTACTTTGTCGCAAGTTCTTGGGGTGTGCTGCCGCCTATCGTTAAGATATCATTTGGAACCGGGTTAAGGGTTTTAAGGACTTGTTTTAAACTGTTTTGATTCCGGCTGTTGGTCCTGACTTACGTTTCCACACTTATCTCTCGATGTGACATGATAACTGTCCAATGATTTGATTTGTGGTGGCTTGGGGTGGGGTACAGTACCAAGATGGGATTTACCTTCCTGATCGTAGAGTCAAGGAAAGTTGGTTCCCTCCATACTGTAAATTTCGACTGGAAAAAACAAAAAGAGATTAAGAGTCCCCTGAGATCATAACTTAGAGTAGTATAAGTAATTATTATAAAGACGCCGTGGAGGATTCAGCAAAGTTAGTGAGATGAAAGGTCTCACTGGCACTTTTTGGCCAATCCTTCCTCTTCCTTAAACTTTACTGGATGAGAATACATTTACTAGAGATGATAATTTGGGTAATTTTTCTCTCTCTCGGTGAGTTGTATGCTGGTTGGTATTTAATTATAAGATAGTCTTTTTACTTTATTTGGGTCTGGCAAGAGATGAATCACCTTCCTTTCCTTTGTAGTATATATAGTGCATCTTGTTTGGTATTACATTACAGCTACTATATATAGACATTAAATTATAGTTTTTATAGTCTAGTGACAGTAGGTATACAAGTATCTTCTTCAAGCTGAAGAGATATCACATATTAAGCAGTAGGATATATTAAAGAATGAGTAATGGTGAAACCACTGGCAGTGGGGGAAATAAAAACTAGTTTGAGCATGATATACTTGATAGAATAGTAATACAAAGATAGAGATTCATAATTCTATTCTAGTATCTAAAATAATGATATGTATTAGTATATGTAACCTATACTACCAAGTACATGAGGTATAGAAGTAGAACTCAGTACATGGGATAGTATAAGCTTCTCCTCAGAGATTGATATATAAAACCAACAACACTAACCATTATGTAAAAAAGGTACAATTCTTCAGGTAATGTAAAGTGGAATAAAGAAAGGGAAATAAAATGGAATTACTTACCTTAGAATCATGGTGATTTCTGTTCCTCCCTGTTCTTTTCCTATAGTTTAGGATTTATATCTTTAAGGTAGATACTTTTGTCCTGTGCCACTACTCTGAAGCTTAATATAATAACTGGAGTCCCACCGGAAGCTAGAATAGAGGTTTGAGGACAGGATGATAATATATCCTTATAGTTTTCCTTAAGAAATGTGTATTTTTCTGTATAATAGATGGTGACTTGATTTCTGAGTACTGCATTTCTGCTCAATTATTGGGGTGGTTGGAGTGATACTATTAGCTTAAACTAATATTTAGTTATCTTTTTACTAAAGTCTGTTGAATTTAGTAATATTTGGTGGTTCCATATGAAGCTTGAAATTCCTGTCCGCACATTTGTCTGAAATATTCTTTGTAGACTGCTACTTTGGGTCCTTATATTGTTAGTAAAGTTAGTAATTTCTTTTCAAAGAGTCAAAGTAAACAGAGTATCATATAAATTACCTTATACTATAAATTTGAGATAGTTTTCCTATTTTCACTATTTCTCTATAAAGAATTAGTAAAGTAATATGATATCATAGTAAACTGTAAAGAAAATAAAGCAATAAAGAATTGTATATGTAGAGGTGGTTGTGAAGGTAGGTGATTGTTGGAAAGAAGGTGGGGGAACACCTCCTTATATAGACTTTGTCGCTAAGCAGGTTACCCTCTGTACTATGATATAATATACTCTTTATAGAGTACAATAGAGGGTATTTCCCTATCCTGATCTGGTTGTCATGCTATGATACATGGGTATCATACTTAGACATATAGACTTTAGGGCAACCTTAGTCTGCATGATTTTCTGTACCCCTTCGCTCTTGTCATTTTGGGAAGCTCTCTCTGTTATAGATATCATATAATTCAGGGTTTGACGGGGCTTGTAGCAATCGAATACAGCCATACTCCGCTATCTTGGACAATGAAAACCCAAGGAATTGCTTCTGCACGGCTGGTGATTCGGGATAGTTGGTTAGGGTTTTGTATGATGTAAAGAAATTTAAAACACATACAAGGTCTTACGTGGCAGCGAGGCGTCCGGAATATAGAGATCCAGGTTAGCTGGGACTACTCATATTTTGCGTTGTCCTGCAAAGGACCCTGCCCTGCGCGGACGAGTTGGCTTCCTGATATCCACAGCCCAACGCTACACCTTCTCGCTTGTTGGTAGTGGATCCCCAACACCGCAAAAAAGGCGGAAACCTTGGAGAGGTTGCTGTAATGGGGCAAGAACGTAGGGGGGGTTGATGTGCTGCGCAGAGCGTCTGTCTGGGGGAAGCACGACAAGGTTTAGCCAACGCTTACAGGAGCAGGCACCGATCCTCGAAGTCTCGAGCGGGGGTTTGCTCTTGCTCGCCATTTATATGCGGGGTGTAGTAAACTCTTTTGGGAAGGGTAACTGCGATGGTATTTGTGAACATGGGTCCGGGAACAGAAAGAGAGGTAGCAATAGAAGCGAGAACGATGTTTAGTAGTTCTTGTGGACTTGCCGTTTCCGGCCCTGGGAGGGGCGGCCCTTTACTCTGGGCTGGCGGGACTACCGTTTGACAGAAGAATGCGTATCCTGACTGGAGCAATCTCTTGTAAAGTATTTTCTGGACAGAATGCATGATACTTCCATTGCCACCTCTGACCTTGCGACCTCTTGCAGTTTTTGGATCTTTGTTTATAGGTGCAGCCATAGTTAGAGGTCTTGCTGCCGAGCGTATGACTAGAGCACGTTTATCTATCAAGAGTGGTCTCGGTGCTTAGCATCGAGGTCGCTTTCTTATGGAACAGTAATTATAGCGAGTGATTTATCATGAACAAACTTGCATGTTTATGCTCCGGCTATCCAGGGTGGGAGCATTTTTGTTAGCGATTGGAGACTCTAGACCGACTCATCTATTGGAAAAAACTCCTTTCTATGGGAGTTTCGGTTCTGATGATGCCGCTGGTCATAGACACGAGCGAGTGATGGAGATGCTGCCTGGGCGGGAAAAAGTCAACCCCGACGAGCCGGATAATTACGGCCAGACACCTCTTTCATTCGCTTCTGTGTACGGCTATAGGAGAGTGGCATCCCTGCTGCCCCGCAAAGTGGTAACACCCAGTGCGGTTTGAGGCCTAGAAGACTGGCATATGTCACCATATCCACGTAAACCTCCTTAGGAATTTGCTTTTATAGTCAAGTGGGGACTAAACCATGAGAGGGCTCAGCGAGGCGGCACCCTCAGCGAGGCGCGGCAAAACTTGGCATCTTAGAATAGTTAGTTAGAATAGTTAGTAAGAAAACTATATCATCAGTATTACGATAATCAGAGCAAAACTAACAAGACCTACCTTCCCACCTCCGAGTCCTCTCTTTGATACAAAATACTCTAATTATGAGTCAAGACAATTGTGATATCCCAATCCGAGTACGAGAACAGATGGCAATTGAGATGGCAGTTACTGGAAAGGCTCCAAGCCTTACAGTAGCTGCAGGAATGGTTGGAATTGCTTCAACAACGGTTATGCACCGCCAGCAGGGAAGAAAAAACCGAGAAGAGGAGAGTCAACGAAGGCAAAAGCTTACTCCGGAGGAGGAGAGGATTGTTTTGGAGCGGTGCTACTTTCGCTGTCGTCTCGGATTTCCACCGACAATCTGGCAGTTACGAGAAATTGCCACCTCTATTCTTCAGAAACGAAGCCCTCATGAGATGATTGGAAAGAAGTGGGAAACAGCATTTAAAAAGCGGCATCCCGACGTAAAAACACGGTTCAGCAAGCAGCTTGATTTTATTCGCAATATTCGTGGTAATGATATTCAATTAATGAATCGCTTTTTTGACGAGGTATTTTTTATTTCTAATTGTTTATGTTTACTTTGTGATTATTTTTTTTATATTTTAATTTAATTTTAATATTCTAATTTTTATTTATTCTGTTTATTATTCTTACTATTATAATT